GCATACTCAATATAAAGGTGTCACACATCATTTAAAAGATCAAAATATATAAGAGTTTGCGTTTAATTGTTCTACTCTTCAAATAGTAACATTAATGTAGTAATCGCATAATTTAATATAAATATAAATCATCTTGGTTCAGATCATTTGCACATCAATAATCGAATCATTCAGTGTCTACGAGTTTAATACACTTTTATCAATTAGACCAGTTCATGTAAATGTCATTCAAAGTTTGAAATAATTGATAGAAAGATATATTTATTTTAAATTTTCATCTCAGTGTTTCGAAATACTACGCAAATATAATTTATAAAATAAGAAAATCGCAAGAAAAAAAAGAATTTGTGGCGTTTGATAATATTTCAATTATAAGAATAAAGCGTACACCATAAATCTCATGCTCCACTCTACAGATGCGTGTGCATGAAGTAATATTGATTAAATCATTTTCATCGTGAACTACTTATTCATAATCAGCTTTTGTACAAAGTTGGTATAAATTTACCGAATATGAAAAGGCAACGTTAGTTGTAAATTTGTCTTCGTTTTCATCAATTGAAATTTTTTACTCACCAATTTTGTTTTGCTTTTGCATTAAATCTTGGATCGTGTAATCAGTGATTACTAATCATTCAATAGTTGACCATTTTCAACAATGATACGAAAAAAAATGTTTAAATTACTTTGTGAATTGTTGTCAGTGTTTTTGATTATACCAATCATGCAATGTGATCCACACATAATGAAACAAACAAACAATGGCCCAGTTGAAGGCATAGAACAAACAGGTTTTTTAGGCAGGAAATATTATGCGTTCAGAGGTGTTCCGTATGCTGAAATTCCAATAACAGGAATAGATCCATACACTGGAGCTGAAGTCGATCGAAGATTTAAGGTATTGATGAAAAAATCATCATGGTATCAAAACGTTTTTCATTTTAATCTTATTTTATTCTGTTCCGTAAAAGCCAACGGTACCGCTAACTCGAAGATGGACGGAGGCTCTAAAGGTGTATGAATATGCAGATGGTTGTATCACGTCAACAAAGTTTTTACCAAAAATAACAAAAACTAGTGAAAATTGCCTCTTCTTAAATATCTACGTGCCAGGTTTTAGATTTTACATAATTTATATTTGCTAAGAAACTACATTGAGAGAAATGGGAAAATACAAATATTTTGAATACATTTCGATGCATTCAAAAATTGAAGAGATCATATTTTTTAGATGGTGGTTCAGAGAAAAAAACAGTAATGGTGTATATCCATGGTGGTGGATTTACCGAAGGAACGGCAACCGATTTGCTGTACGGACCAGATTTCCTGATTGAAGTAGATAATATTTTTGTAACACTTAATTATCGTTTGGGCATTTTTGGTTTTATGAATCTTGGGTTCGGCGAATATACTGGAAATATGGGATTGAAAGACCAACAAGTTGCTCTCAAATGGATTTATGAAAATATTGAATATTTTTCTGGAAACAAAAATGAAATTCTACTTTTTGGAGAAAGTGCTGGTAATTACCTTAACTTAACCTACAATACTATTGTGATCATTTTCCGGTAGGACTTTGGCATTTTGGAGGAAATCGTTGAAGGAATTTCATCATCCCTTTTATGGCTAAATATGTACATCCCTCGTGCACTCCTATGCGCCAAGTTTGAGCGCGGTACAATAACTACTAGTATGCATTTGTTGACTTGTTCAATTATAGCTCAAGTGACTTTTACGATTTTCATAAAACCAGACATTTGTGAAGTTTTAATAAAATTTCAAATCATCATGATAGGTATTTGGTATGTTCAGCAAAATTGATGGCCAGTTCATAAACTTTAATCATAAAAAAATATTTGAAAATTCGATGGTAATGACTAAAAACCCAAAAAAGATCCAAAAATGGGTAATTTTTCATTTTTTAGCACATTTTCACTTGAAAAACAAAAACTTCTGCCTCAAACCTGTTGATTCGCGTACGAGCCATGATTCTGTTGATTTTCCAAGATGATGAAAATGAAAAAGTGCGAGTTTTGTACAAGAATTTGAGAAAAATCATACATTAGATTTTTGGCATCACATTGAATTGCTTGATAATTGAAAACTTTGGTCGAAATCTCAACAAAAACTTGGTTTGAATTTTCTTAGATTGCTTTGGTTGTTATCGTAGAACACTGAGGACGTACGCTGATGCAGTTATATCATGTCAATATGCCTCTTTATGCAAAAAAAATCAGACAATACATTGAATTAACTGGTCAGTTGAGCTGACAGTACGTTAGCCAGCTAAATGGGCTAAAACAATAGACGTTATTGTTTTAATGATGAATCACTTTTCTTGTTTTAATAGAAGTGATTGTTCATTATAACAATAACTTCTATTGTTTTAGTCCATTTAGCTGGCTAACGTACTGTCAGCTCAACTGACCAGTTAGTTCAATATATTGTCTGAAAAAAATCCAAAAAATATAAATCGAAGAAGTCCCTTGAGCTATAATTGAACAAGTCAACAAATGCATACTAGTAGTTATTGTACCGCGCTCAAACTTGGCATAGGAGTGCACGAGGGGTGTAAATATTTAGCCATAAAAGGGATGATGAAATTCTTTCAACGATTTCCTTCAAAATGCCGAAGTCCTACCGGAAAATGATCACAATAGTATGATTAATTGATATTTTGATTGAATCAGGCGGTGCATCTGTGAATTATCATATGCTCAATGAAGAATCGAGAAAATATTTTAACAGAGCGTTTGCAATGAGTAGTTCAGCTTTAAATTTCTACGCATTATATGAACCAAATCATTTGGAAATAATGCAAAATTTCTCAAATATTCAAGACAAAGATAAACTAATTGAACATTTAAAGAAAGAAGATAGTGCAATTCTTGAACAATTCAGATCAACCACAAGTCGTGGACTGGTTTTACTTCAATCACCATGGGTTCCAACTATTGAAAATTCTACAACAAAAGGCGCATTCATAACTGAGTCTCCGGAAGAAATTTACAAGTCGAAGGCTCCAGTTATGGATACTTTGTTTAGTTTCACTTCTCAAGAATATGTTACATTTAATGCAAATCTTACTCGAAATACTGAACCGTTTCTTAGTGGAAATTGGAATGAGTCAAAATTATTATTGCCATTTGCTGGATTTGATAAAGAAATTTATCCAGAGGTTAGTTACTAGAATGAATGCTCTGACGTAAAATAATTTGAAGAAAATATAAATTTTCAGGAATACAAAAAGGCTTTTGAAGCATTGAAAAATGCATATTTTAATGATACGAGCAATATTGATGCGATCAAACGTGGAAATATTGCTCTTCTTTCGGATATGAATTTTGGATACAACATTTTAAAAGCCGTTCAATATCAAGTAAAAGCAAATAACAAAGGAAACACCAAACGAAATACATTTTTGCAGAGGTAATCTGCTCTTAACCAACTATCTACCTCTAATTTAAATGCTTCCATACGATAGATTTTCAGTGAATGCTGATATCAACTTATTTAAACAGTTGATGCAGTTGAATTACGATGGTGCGTCCCATGGTGAAGATGTATGTTTCATATGCTGGTAAATCATAAATGACAAAAATATTGATAACTTTAAATTCTTTAAATGCATTTTTGGCATTTCTCTCCCTCTTCTAGTTGCCATTTATTAAACAGGTTGGGAATTTATGAAAAAAATTTGATAATCAAAGACAACTCAAATATAAATTACAATGCAATCATGCGCATGGTTAATATAGTTACGAATTTCGCGAAAACTGGGTAGATTTTGAAAATATCTTTTGCCCACTATCACTTTTAACTTGATTTCGCTATCATTTTCAGCAATCCATCGATCGAAGGTGATACACCATTCAAATCATCTACATCAACAGAGGAAATATTCTCGCAAGATATCACAAACGATTCAAAAACCACTTTGGTTACTGACATTATGGATCAACTGCACTTTGATACATGGAAAGAAATTGAAGACACCTATAAAATAATAAAAGCAACGCATACCGAATAATCAATAACTTTAGGGCAATTCCAAACATTACAATCATATTTCTTTATTTTGCTTCTTCTCAGTAAATCAATATAAAAAAAACTCCACATTTCGAATATATGTAACTAACTAATAGCTATATAATTTCAGCCTATTTTATCATTAATCATTTTTAATTTACAGATTTCGAAAAACTTCGTAGTTTTCAGAAAATAATGGCATTTATAAAATATCAATTGATTTAAAATTTGTACTTGAAGAGTAAAAAAATGTTCAATTAAAAAAATTATTGTTGCCAGACAGTGCCGTTCGGATCACTTGTCATTAAACCATTTTGCAAAGTATCAGCGATTGCATTTCTAATGCGCGTTCTTAAGATCGTTTCCGTTTTCCCATTTAAAAGGAAAAATGTATAAATGTATGATAATAAATTGATCTTGACGTAGTTATGGTTTTTCGATTTTCGTCTTGCAAGTAACATACATTAACGGGTCTTTAAGATCATTAAACATAGTGAACTTATTTTTTTGTGTTTTTAAATTTTCACTCCACATTTAACTTCCATTATAATAATAATTATTAAAATTGAGTTCCGGTGATACCGAAATCAAATCAATTTTTCTCGTTGGGTTACACTAGCAAAATACGTATTTGACAGTCAGCTTAAACACGATTAATGACGTCCACCGCGTAAATATAAGTATAATCGGAAATTGAATAATCTGATAATTTCTCGCCCTGTCGATTGATTATTTTTCGTTTCATTTGCCAAACTGACAAAAATTTCTTCGTTGATGTCATTCTTGTCAAAAATCGAATGGTTTAGTTCTTCAACCTCCACCATGGTTTTGTCCATTTGTATTCCCATTCGTGTTATTGTTAGATTTTGCAATTATCATATTTAGTTTTATATTTTGGTTTTGTCATCGATGAAGTCTTTAATGAGATACAACACTTTTTCTATATCCGAGATTGTAAATCAGTCGATGATGTGAAAACCAATGACAATAACTCAATATAACTTGAGCATTTTTTTCAAATAAAGTTCACTTTCACAATCAATTTATAATAATGAACACACAAATCAAATACACTTTTTTATGCATTTTTTCTTAAAATAATAGATCATCGTCCTTCAAAAATTCATAGAATTCGTCATTTTATATCGCACAAATACCAAATAAATATGACGCATGTTAATTCAATTTTAGATCATTCTATTCATATTCACGTATTGCAGCGTTTCTTTATTTCTGCTATTAATTCGATTGAATGCAGCCAATTTTTTCATTTTATCCAGGTCATTCAATAGCATCCGTATGGTGTGATTGGTTTTGGCAAAATCGGATTTTGTATTTCTGTGCGGATACTCCATTGACTCAAGAGCTATAATAATTGAAGAAAAAAGAAAAGGATTAATAAAAGAAATATCATCACAATCACTTAGTTTTTAATGCGAACTAATCAATAAAATACTGACCAACAATCTGTGCATCGATGGTTTGCATGCGTGCGTGAATTATACTTTGTTCATTTTGTATGTGTTCCAAAAGATGATGCTGACATTCTACCGAATCGATAGCTGCTTCTGGTTGTGGAATATTTGGTGTTAATCGGAGTTTTTTCGGTGTGACTGCTTGTTTAATTTGTTGTTGTGTCGTTGTCTTGTCGATTTTAATGTCAGTATTTGTTTTATTTTCTATTAGCGTCATCTCATTCTTTTGCGTTGTCTCAGATTCATTTTCCGGTTTGACACATTCCAGCAAATTATTTAGCGCAGGATTGGTGATCGTTTCACTCTTGACCTCTGAAACTGATGTGTGTTGCTCTTGTTCAACTTTCGTTTCAGTATTTCTTGGTGGACTTTGTTCCCATTTCTTTGACCACAAATACAATTTTGGATGATCTTTATTCGACGCAATGTTTAACTTCACATTTAAACTGTGCAATGAACGATTCACTTCCAAAAGATTGCCGGTCAGTTGATGACTTTGTTGGAGAATGTCAGAACGCATAGCCGCTTGATCACTTGGCTGATGATAATTTGCTTGAAATAGTTTTCCATCATACAACCAATCTTGATCATGAATATATCTCATTGATTCGCGAATATTTTCTGGATGTCGGCATATCCAACACACATATTTTTCCGGCACTTCACTTTCTTTGGTCATGTTGTAACATACAGCGTGTTGCCAGAATAAACATAGTTCACACTGAATCATCAAACCATTCTGACCTTGGTCGCATTTACAGTTAACGATTTCTTCTTGACGCATTCGTACAATTTTGATAATTTCACCATTTTCATCGACATATTGAGAGCCAGATTGTTGTTGAAAATTTAGATCCATTGTTGAACATTCTGAATTGGAAAAATTCAATTGAGTTGACCTTCCATCATTGTTATCGTGATTTATTAGAATTTTTTTAATTTTTCGCTTGAATTCTCTCTTCATTTTTTTGGATTTTTTCCCCTTTAAAGCCTTGATTTTGAATGGATTAATTTTGAATTTTGGTATTCCCGATTTTGATGCGGATAGTTTGGTGTCAGTTCGTTTTTTTGTTGATTTTTTAGGCGCTGAAGCAGTTGCTTCTGGTTTGAAATCATTCTGTGCACACTCCTTGAGAGCGCTATCCACTGAATTAATATCTGGCGCATTCACTTTGTCTTTTTCTGACGGTTTTCGTTTTTCCTTGACTTCAAGATTGGCTAGATTTGTATCTAATTTACGTTTCAATCCATCACTCGTTTGTTCTACCAAGGTCAATGACTGCCCCACTGTTTTTGGTTCGTTTGTTGTTTCTATCGCTTGAGAGATTGGCGATTCAATCTTGTTTGTGGTGGCGTTAAGTTGATCGGCTAATTCACTGTGATAGTGTTTTACGTGAATATATAAATGATTTTCTTTGCGGAAATGTTTATCGCAATCCTCCTTGGGACAGTGAAGCGAATTATTGATCCGTTTAACTTTTAAAGCCCCAAGATAAATAAAATCTTCTCCCAACACACCGAATGTAGACGTATTTGGTTCAGTTTTAATTTCTTGTGCAATTTTCGACAGAATTGTCGATTCATTTGGTGAGAACCCGGCAAATGGTTGCCGTTGAAGTGATGAATTCAGATTCGATTTCCAATTAAAATCTGACGATTGTACCGGCGGCACATAATCATCGGTGTAAACATAAACACCAATATCTTTGGCACGACGCTTGTGAATGCTAAAATCATAAGTATCTGGATTGTACGCTTGACCAATTTCATCAAGGTATACTTTGACATCATTTCTCGAACGAAAACGTTTATTATTCGAGTCAACAACTAACATAACGTCCCATTTAATTGATGTGCTCGAACGTCGATACAAATGTTTTGTCCATCCGGCGGGTAATCGTTTATCTTGCACCAAAACCGTTGGACGTTTTGTACCGTCTGCATTCAACAAAAAACCCTCATCACCAATCGGTGTGTCGTTAATCCATGGACAACACCATTCACCTTCCGGTATTTCGGGTAGATTGAATTTGCTCAAATCGAATTTTGGAATTGGATTATATAGATTTCTGATGATGGGTTGAATTGGTGGTAATGGTGAATCACTGGATTGAGTTGCTATTTCATTTGTTGGCTGCTTCATTTTTGTCATATGATTTCCTTTTACATGTTTTACGAAACCATCGTCGAACAGTACTTCATATTTGTCTAAAATCAATGTCAATATTTTAAACAGAAATATTAAAGTCAGAATAAGCAATATGAAATTCATATTATAAATTGCCAATGATGAATGCTTACTGTTTTCCAACGGTTTGAGCACCGTTGCTGGAAATTTTCGGGAATCAGTCCATCGGGCCAAACATCGATCACCTTTTTCGTACGTGACTTGCACTGGAATTCTCAATCGGCTGCTGTCCATCGAAATCCATTCTTCGTTCAACTTGAATCTATAAATTTTATAAGTATGATCAGTATAAATTTCTGTCTTCAATTTGAAAATGTGATCTTATTTAGAATTATTGAGTGAATAACATTGGCTTGACTTACCTATTAGCACCTTTTGCTCTCATATTTTTTGCGAATTTGATTAAAACCTCTTGTTCGCCTTGATCCACTTCGATGACACTGGCGTTGTGCCAGCCTCCCGTCAGATCTTGTGCTTCAATTTTTGTGCCCGGTGTGAATTGCATGGCTGTGTCTTTTTTTTCCATATTTAATAATATCGCCCAATCTTGGCATATATGGTGAAATTCTGAAATAATTTTGAAAAACAATATTTTCTTATAAATTTTCTACAAAAATTATTGATTCAATGCCATAAATAGATTTAATAACAACGTTTATGAACTTACAATCGATTTTATGAAGAGGTTTTTGTGTAAATTTTGAGAGGAAAATTGTTTTATTTTATAATACGCAGTAAACAAAATTCACCCTATGACGCCATATTGATACTAGCTGTACACTAAAAACTGTAATATTAATATTACCTCGCTTGCTGAAGAAATGTCAAACTAGATTAGCGACGACACAAACCAAATGATACGGAGTGTGCGCTATACAAAAACCTCTTCTAATTCGAAATATACTCCTATTTTTATGTAATCAAATCTATTTGATTTCCTTTCTATTACAATATTGTGGCAAATTCATCCATTATAAAACATTTGTTGTGGCAAATTCATCCATTATCGGGCATATGTTGACGGTCAATATTGGGGTCGGATTTGAGTGTAGTTTCAGTCATTTTCAACGTCGCAATGGAAAGAAAAAAGAGAAAAAATAAACTCAGTTACTAAGTATGAATCAACATCAATATACTATCGGTTCAGTTCAATAAATGATACTCACCTACGGGTTATTTTATATACCGAACTGCCCGTACTTCGGTCAAGGCCACAAAACTCAAGCCCAGCATAGTAACAAAACGTTACAATAATATTATTTAAAAAGAAATCTTAATGCTACATGTAATTAAAACTGGTCGTCATCGGAAACATCGAGAACATAAACGTAGTCCTCATCGTCACTGGAATCCTCATCGTCAGCTGCTTGATTTTGTACGGCAGCATTTTGATTCTGTGGTCTCAATAGTTGCGGATGAATGTCCAATCCCAACACCGTAAAAAGACCTAAAAACAAAATCGTAAACAACAAATTGTTAGCCAAAACATTCTTAAACATTTTTAATTTCAGTGATATTTTTTCACCTTTGTACATGATGTTCTTGGCTGCAACGATATCCCGGTGCCAAACAGTTTTCAATTGAAATGGAGCTTGATCATCTTTCCAAATGCCAGTGTTTAGTTGCCAGTTTTTGAAACATACTTGAAGTTTTGACACTAAACCATCTGAATCCATTGGAATATGATCTGGGTTGACTGCATTCAATCGATTAACAAAATCAACTGCATATTTACGCAATTGTTGGTACACTCGGTTGCTTTTCATGGTGATAATGACGTTCGGTAAATTCCATTGCGATGACTCATCTTCACTTGGAATACAATGCTGACAAACTTTGTATCGATCGCTTTTGGTTCGTCGATCGAATGGCCGGAAACATTTTGCACAAGTTTGCGATGTATTGTATTCGTCGACCAATCGTACAATACAATTTCCCAACTTCTTGAAACTGTTCAATAGTCGTCGTAATCCCGGGCATCGCAATCGCTTTTTAATACCAATTGGTGAGTTTGGAGCTATTTGAGCTGCACCAATAAAAACGAGCGCCGACTTTTTTTTCGTCAGTGATGCCGCGATTTTGTCACTGGCCCGATTCTCTTCGATGTATTTATCGAGACGGAGTCGAATAAACTTTCTTGTTGTGTACACCGCCATAGCTGGTTTCATCATTTTCACATAATAAGCGATGTAACACATCCAATGTGAACGTCCTTTCGGCGATGGAAAAAATGCATAGCGTTTATAGTCGAGCTCCCGTTGTTTTTGCAACAATTCAGTCCATTGATCGGATTTACGCTTGCGTTTGCCATATTTCGCTTTGAAATGGTATTTTGGACCATCAATTGTGATGTTTTCCTAAGATTTACGAACAAAAAATCATAGAAGTAAACAAATAATAAATAAAGAATGAATTTATTGTTTTTTACCTCGTTGCCGGATCGAACGTGTTTGCGAACGGTGGCGTTCCATGTACGAACTCCTGGGTCGATTCCAAGCACATAATCAAACTCAAAATTATTGTACTTCTCTTTGATGGTGTTGTTATCAAGTTCTGGTGTATTGCGTTCAGGCTTCACGAAACATAACGAAACTGCCACACTATCGGTTGCCACAGCAAAATCGAATTCCTTACCATTTCCAAGTTTCGAAATTTTTGGCAGGTCAAATATTAAATCCCAATAGATAGCTGGATTGCTATCGTATTCAGTTTTTTCAATGTTTATTGGCTGACCGCGTTTTCCTTTTGCCAATTTCAATACTCCAAATTTTCTCGCAATGAAATAAAAAAGATGGATATCGATGCGGATATGTTTCATATCGAAATCGTGGACTGGAATTACTAAAAAATTCTTTATTTTTGGCGGGAGTGGAGTGGTCGGCATGACATTGTTGTTCGGATCGCGTCGATATTGGAACCAGCGTTGTTTCAACATTTCATATTTCGTGTGAAAATCGAAAATTTGTCGCTGAATGTTTATAAATATTGGGATGGTTTGGAACCAGCGATCACGAATGAGATTCTGGAAGTGTACATTGATTGGCAATCCAATGCCTGCTGCTTCGTTTAATAGAAGATCGATGTTCGCGTTTCTCTCGACTCTACTTTGGAACATTACGATCTTCGTCGCACGTTTTACATCCAATTCAGTGATGAGATTTCCTTGTCGATTCACATTCAGTTCGTAGCGCTTTAGTGTGAAAAATTTCTTGATGCGACTGAATGCCCATACTTTGATGTTATTTTTCACGTTTGTTATGTACTGAGTGATGAGATGATTGAATGCGTTCCCCATGCCCTCGCGAGCTGGCCAATTTTCTGGACGAAGAAAATCAGGACATGCTTGCTCCACAGTTCGTCGAAATGCAAGCGGTAATTTGTGGTAATTTTCTTGTAATACCGAGGTGAAACATTCACCAATTACACCATTCACGTATTTATTGAATTCATCATTCGTGTATTCATCTGATTCACTTTTAAAAAATCGAACATTTTCATCGTCAAAGGCTTTGTTTGCTTTGAACAAAAACAGTAATGACGCCAGAGTCGTAATCATTGTGGCCGAAAGGCACCAGTATGTGACCTGATCGATGAATGGTGCACGATACTCTTCCCTCAGCACTTGATTTAGAGTCATCTTCAACGACGTACTGCGCCCATTCTTGGCTCTCTTTCTTCTCATCGTGACAGATCTATTGTACAAAAATTAAAGAAAAAAATACACCAAATATAGCATAGATCACAAACACAATAAGATATAAACACTTCTATCACAAATTAAATGAAACAGTAATGAAGAGCGCATTATAAATATCAAGTCTTACCTCAACAAAGGACTCTGTATTCTAAATCGAATGATGAAATTTATTTCCAACGTGACATCAAATATTTTGCCGATCGAAATGTTGTTGGAATATTCACAGTTAATTTTATCAACACTCTGTTATTTCGAAATTAAAACAAAGACAGTCACAAAACCAACTGTGAATATATCCATTCCACAGGGAACAGCATTCTGAACACACAAAATCGTTTTTGAAATGACAATAAAACCAATTGATCGCCCAAACCACGCTTCAAACACTCTCATATAATTCACAAGAAATCCTGTTGAAAACAAAACAAAGTTTTATTGTAAACAAAATCGGTTGGTGCAAAAGTTGTTTATACTAACAACTGGATTTGGTTTGACACATATACACCGCGCGGATAGAAAAATGTCAGAAAGATGTCAGTTGCATTTCGAAAATTCAAAATAATAATTCCACAAATAAAGAAAATTAAATGCAATAAATGACGTATAAAAGAGTTCTTCTGCAGAGTTTTAAATTAAATTATGCAAATCTCTTTCCGAATAAATTGTTTATTTTTTTATTTGAGCGTAAGATTTGTATTTTCAATATAAAACTTAATGTATTGGGTTGTGTTCACATTATGTTGTCAAATGAAATATTATTGGAAGTGAAAGAAACAAGTGGATCCATTCCATTGGAATTCGTTGAAACTATGCATATAATCTCCGTTCCATTTGACACGAAAATGACCACCAGAATGGGCCAAAACGTTACATTTTTCAACGTTAGAATGTACTAAAAACATTACAAATTTGTTTGCTGGGAACAGACTCTCAGAATAACAATGTATGTATATTTTGTTTTAAAATTCACAGAATTTATTTTTTTGTTCATTTTACAGGCCAAAATGTTTTAAACTTAATAAAGTGACTTATTTTTATGAGCGTATTTATATGAAATGTGACGGTTCAATGGAATTGTATAATGGTGCATGTGGATCTTTGCGACTTATTCTATTGATTGTAGCCAATTTTTTCATTTTAGCAAGATCATTCAAGAGCATCCGTATGGTTTGACTGGTTTTGGCAAAGTCGGCGTCTGTATTTGTATAGGGATGATCATCCATTGATTCAAGAGCTGTAATAGTAAATTGAAAAAAAAAAAGATTGATTAATAAAGGAAAAATCATCACAGTCACTCGAATTTAAATGTGAACTAATCACTAAAATACTGACCAACAATCTGTGCGTCGATGGTTTGCATACGCGATAGAATTGTATTTTGTTCCTTTTGTACGTGTTCTAAAAGGCGATGCTGACATTCAACCGAATCAATGGCGGCTTCTGGTTTGGGTATGTTTGGTGTTGGTCGAACGACATTTTTCGGTATGACTGCTTGTTTAATCGGTTGTTGTGTTGTTGCTTTGTTCTTTGTTTCAGTTTTAACGTCATTATCTGCTTTATTTTCAATTGGTGTTGTCTCATTCTTTAGTACACTTTCAGTTTCATTTGCGGTAGAATTCGTTTTCTCTGTTGGTTCTTCCTCTTTTATCAAATTACTTTCATTCTCAGTACATTTCTGCGATGTATTTGACTCCGGATTCGGTTCCGTTTCATTCTTAACTTCGGTGACTGTTAAATGTTGTGCTTGAATGGCTGGCTTAGGTTCAACCTTCGTTTCTACGTTTGCTTCAGCATTTCTCGGTGGACTTTGTTCCCATTTCTTTGACCACAAATATAATTTTGGATGATCTTTATTCGATGCAATGTTTATCTTTACATTTAAACTGTGCAGTGAACGCTTCAGTTCCAAAAGATTGCCGGTGAGTGTATGACTTTGTTTGAGAATGTCAGAACGCATGGCCGCTTGACGACTTGGCTGATGATAGTTTGCATGAAATAGTTTTCCATCATACAACCAATCCTGATCATGAACATATCTCATTGATTCGCGGATATTGTCTGGATGTCGGCATATCCAACACACATATTTCTCCGGTACTTCACTTTCTTTTTCGATGTTGTTACATCCACCGTGTTGCCAGCACAAACATAATTCACACTGAATCATTAAACCATCTTCTTCGCCATACTTGCACACACAGTTAATGATTTCCTCTTGGCGCATTCGTACAATTTTAATAATTTCCCCGTTTTCATCGACATACTGTGACCCGGATCGTTGTTGGAAATTTGGATCCATTATTGAACTCTCTGAATTGGAATCGGTTGATGAGTACTGTAAAAATTTCAATCGATTCGGTCGTGATTGACGTGAAAAACTACCGCCAAATATACCACTGTCGCGTTGTATTGGCAATCGATTGCCAAAAACTTCGTAGCTTTTTCGTTTGAAATCTTTGTTGAATTTTTTGAATTTCTTTTTAAATGTTTTTCCTTTTCGGGGCGAAGTCTTTTTGCCTTTCAGTTTTGACATGTTACCGATTTTAAAACGTGGTATTATTGCTTTTTGCACAGTTGGCTTTGAATCTATTGCAGATTTACTTTCTGATTTCTTCACTGGCGTCGAAACTATGGCTCCCATTTCAATATCGTCCAATTTAAAGTCTTTGCTGTTATTTGCCGAAAATTCTGGTGGATTTACTTTATCGGTGGCGGATGGTTTTCGTTTTTCTTTGATTTCAGGACTGCCCTGATTTGTGGTCAATTTACGCTTCAATCCTTCATTTGTTGTCTCATCAATGATCATTTGTGATGATGTTGATGGCTCTTCTGTCTTCGGTTCGACTTTAATGCGAGTTGGTGATAATGATTTGCGAACGGTTCTCATTTCCGATGTGTATGTTTTTTCAAAGAATTGCGAATTGGGAATTTGATTTTTCGGCGATGATTCATCGATCGATGTTCCCATCGTACGGAAATAGGCGAGCTCAGTCATATTTGGGCAAGCGCCAAGTTGTTGTGATAATTCTTGGTGATAATGTTTCACATGAATTTGTAAATGATTTTCTTTGCGGAAATTTTTCTTGCAGTCATCTTTGGGACACTGAAACAAATTATCGACCAATTTAACTTTCAATGCACCAACATAAGTGAAACCTTCCTCCAATGCAGACGTATTTGGTTCGGTTTTGATTGGTGTACTCGTTTCGGCCTTTATTTCTTTTGTTATTTTCGATAGAATTGTTGATGTCGATTCATTTGGTGTGAAACCGGTGAATGGTTCTTGTTGAAACGACGAATCCAGACTCGAGTCCAACTTGAAATCAGATGATGGTTTTGGAATCACCGGCGGCACATAATCATTAGTGAAAACATAAACACCAACATCTTTAGCACGACGTTTGTGAATGCTAAAGTCATAAATATCAAGATTGTATGGTTGACCGATTTCTTCTAGATATAATTTGACATCATTCTTCGAACGAAAGCGTTTGTTATTATTCGGGCCAACCAGTACAACGTCCCATTTGCCTGATGTGCTTGAACGTTGATACAAATGTTTTGTCCATCCGGCCGGTAATCTTTTATCTTGCACTAAAACTGTTGGACGTTTTGTACCGTCTGCATTCAACAAAAAACCCTCATCACCAATCGGTGTGTCGTTAATCCATGGACAACACCATTCACCTTCCGGTATTTCGGGTAGATTGAATTTACTCAAATCGAATTTCGGAATTGGATTGATTTTGAATGGTTTTCTGATGATGGGTTGAATGGGTGTCACTACTGGAGTCACCGGTGCTCCTAGTATAGTTGGTGAATCACATGATTGTGACGCCTTTTCACTTGCTGTACGCTTTGTTTTTGACATATGGATTCCTTTGACGTATTTTACGAGACCATCATCGAACAGTACTTCGTATTTGTCTAAAAAAAAGTTCAATATGATGGTTTGACATTTTCAATAAAAATATGAGAATCAACATTGACTTTATGAAGTGTTGAATGCTTACTGTTATCCAATGGTCTAACCACAGTTGCTGGAAATTTCCTTGAATCAGTCCAACGAGCCAAACATCGATCACCCTCTTTGAATGTTACCTGAACTGGTATTCGTAATCGGGTGCTGTCCATCGCAATCCATTCTTCGTTCAACTTGAATCTATAAATGATTGTTCAGTGTAAAGTTGAATTATTTCTTTCAAATTTGAATTATTCAGTGAATAACCTTCACTCTACTTACCCACTAGCACCTTTTCCTTTCACAGTTTTTTCGAAATTGATTAAGACCTCTTGTTCGCCCTGATCCACTTCGACTACACTGGCATTGTGCCAACTTCCTGTCAAATCTTGTGCTTCAACTTTTGCACCAGGCGTCAGTTGCATGGCAATGTCAAATTTCTTGCTTGGCGACTTAATAACATTGTCTTTGCTCGGTGTTTTATCAGATGTGTTTGATAAATCCAATGATTTCCTTACTTTGTTCACTTTTTTGTTAGCACTGGTTGAAGATTGCTCTTCAGCACTAGCCGATCGTTGTTTGTCATCAGCGATGTTCGCTTGTGAACGTGAACTCATTTTCTTTGACTTCGTCACCGCAGTATTATCGCTTGGAATCTCTGTTGTTTTGGTCGCCGATTCATTCGCCGATGTATCCGGTATTGCTTCTGATGTGTCCATATGCTCGGAAAATGATTTCTCATTACCCCATGAGAAAACTGTTGGAACTGCATTTACACCCAGCATTCGTCGATCATTTTTCGTTACTTGATAGTCTGAATCATGGAAATGTTTCGAACACACCACATTGTTTTTTGTTATTGAACGAATTTGATCGATGCGGCAATTTTTCAACCAAATATTTCGTGTAGCATTGTTTGTTGGAAATGCGTGAAATTTCATCTCACTGCATTCTGGTAAATGGGATGATGATTTGCATTCAGGAACACAACACTTACGTTGACCCATTTTAATGCGAATTTATTATGTAGCGATGACGCCCTTCGGTGGCTTTAACAAACAAAAACTTTTTTTTTATCACGCAGTATGTGACGAAATTCGAAAATTACTTATAATGCACAATTTTCTGGGTTTCAAACTTTTATATTGGTTTTATAACAATTTTTTTTGCACTCAGAAGCGATTCTATGAGCGATTACACAGAAATATTTTTAAAAAAAATGTTATTTTCGTCTTTTTCAGTAGAACGCATTTAGCAAATTTTATCACTATAATGACACTCTACGACGCCATATTGAAGCAAGCAGTATATATTGAAATCTGTCATGAACCACACTTTTTGGAGAAATGTCAAAGTCTGTTAGCCACGGCACAAACCAAACGTGCAAAGTCTGAGCTGGTATAATAAACCTTTTTTGAAACAAATTTCTTTCTTTTTGAGATTACTTTTTTCTAACAAAATGAATTTAAAAATGAAATAAATTGTTGACAAATGATAAAAACTGATAGTTATCACTAAAAATAATTCAAAATTCATTGAAATTTTCTTTTGCAAAAAATTTATTTCAAAAGCATAAAGATTTTTTTTCTCATCCTTTCAGTTAAATATATTCTTTTTGATTTAAATTTACATTCGAATGTATTGTAATGTATATTTTCCGTGTCATAAGTTGTTACCTAGTACATTTTAAATAATGAATTTATTCAAGAGAAATTGATTCGATGGTATTATGAGCATTGAATCGTTCGATTAATGTTTATCATTGGAAATCATTTGAGAATGGTTAATGACGGTGATGAAATCATTTGGTGATTGAATCAATTTTCCGTATCGATTTGTGCTATAATTTACTTATTGGACAATAGTTTTTCTTGGTCTTTTTCGATTTTCTCAGTTTTTTTCGGTGAACTTTTACCAAAAGCTGCATCTGCAAATAGTCCTAAAAATACTAAGAATGTGCCAATCCATTGTCGTGATGTTAATGCGTTGCCAAAGAAAATGACCGAAAATAGAACGGTGAAAAATTTCCGTGTAGTTGTAACAACTGAACACGCCAATGGTCCAAAGTTTGATACCATAATGAAAATGAATAATTGACCCAGGGATCCAGCTAAAGCAAGTATTGCTAGATTTCCCAAAACATATGGATATCGACTGGCAAATGTAATAAATTCAAATAATTCTCCGGTAAAAATGACTGCAACAGCAACAATGCCAGAGCTCCAAGCGTTCATTGAAAACATCATTTGTAAAGCGGTGGGCGAGTGAGCAGCTCTCATTCGTTCTTGAACGGCACCGGTCAATCCATCCATGGATAAACTTAATATCAAAAGCACTTCGCCGATGCCGACAGCCTGTTCGGCTGATGAGGCTGCACTTATTTTGCTTTCTTTCATCATGAATAACACAACACCAATTACAATTGTTAACACGAAAAAGTATCTTTGAATTGAATATCGTTTATGACTGATGAGCACGCCCAAAATCATCACTGGAATTGGTTTTGCTGATTTCCCTACAACTTGTGTCGGATACGGCACCCAACGTAATGCCATATTTGAACTAACCATGGCCAAAAGATATGTTAGCGATGAGCAAGCATAGTAACCATAATGCGTTTTATCTTCTCTTTCCGGCTTCAGTATCATTAAACCTAATAGAGAAAAAAAAGACGGCATCGTGAATCGTAAAATTCAATTAAGTATATTTAATATTTTTTTTAATTTTTACCTTTAGCAAATATAAAATTCCACACGCACTGCACTCCACATAACACTAACGCAAATGTGAATTTGTCATAGGTGCCATCCTCATTTCGATCACCATAATGACTTCTGGTAATTTTCTCTTGAACGACTCCGAAGAAAAAGTATGAACAAAATATACCAATAGCGGCAATAATAAATTTCCCTTGGTCATGCATTTTTTTCTTTCTCTCTGTGTGTGTATTCGATTCAGTTTCTAATCATAACCTCCGGCCTAAAACTTTGCAATTTCAAATTCCGCTTTCAAAGTAGTCAACGTGTTCGATTGTTATCAATTCAATTGAACTTCAACTATTGTCGTGTATTGAATGAATGATTACTTCGACGTGGCATTAATTGCATCGGTACGCAATGTATTGAATTATTGATTTTGGTAAACTCTGGCAGCTTTAATCGAATCCAGATAAAATTTCACACACACTTTCTGTCACAATAAATATGATTTAAAAATTAAAACAAATAAATTATACAAGCCGTATCAAGTGCATGGATGCAAACACAACACTTCGATATATGGACAACACTTTGATACTAATACACAAAACAAACGACGGCTGTCATTGGTGATACACGTAAGTGCGAATTTGACATGAGTAAAATATATAACAACATTGGAAATGAGGGGAATTGTAGTTCTGAAATCATAACCAACTGTTATATACAGCAGCGACCATATGAAGAACTATTTCTTGTGTGATGCCCTCAACGCTCTCTATCGAAATTTATCCAAACAAGCACATTTTATTTCATTATTTGTATGTTCATTTGTACAGCGACCGATTACAAATTTAAAGATCGAAGGCCATCTACGATCAAGTTTTTAACCAAACAGTAGCCGCCTTGGTTACCACTGAAAGTGTTTCTAAACAAAGCATTATTTATTTATAAATATATGAGTGCATTGCACACACATATACATATGTGTTTTTGACATTTTATCATATATTTATTAACATCTAAACATCATATAAATCGACAAACATTGTTCCATTTTATCATTTTATTTAACAATTAATTATTTTTCTTTTCTTTTTATATTCATTGTTAACTCGACATTAATCTCGTATACGACCTAAAAAAATCATTTTTGAATATAATTTGAAAAATACGTTGGTGACGTGAAAGATAGAAAAAAATCAAAGAAATGGAAAAAATAGAAGAAGCTGACGATGGTGCGATTGATGTAATAGGCGATGAAGACGACGGTCCTGTTGATATCATAAAAATTCAACAAGATTTTTACGAATCATTCATACCTATTTTAACTGATAAATCAACACATGGCTATTCTGAAGTGTTGAATAAAGAGGTGCTAAAGGATATGATTAAGTCAACTGTGGAACTTTACACGGATATGAACGAAAGTGAGATCAATTCATTTTCCGATTGTCTTTGGGAACAGAAAAAGTTTACGGGCAGCGATGATTTGAGAATTTCGCAATTATTTGTGTGCTGTGTTCATGACACAAAAGGTCAAATAACTTATCCATTGGATATAAAGTCAACGAAATTTTCAATCCGTCCCATTTATCGAGTTCCCAAGTGCTTCAAAAAAACTCAACATCAAAGAGATTGTTGTGCTGTGTTTATTGATGAATTTGCTCGTGTGTACAAAACATGGAGTAATTTTTGTGAAAAGAATAAATACGGAAATTGTTTAATAATTGCACCCAAGGGTGGATTCTATGATGCAACAACTGAAAATAAAGTTGAATTAGACATATTCTATCAAAAAGACGGTGTTATTAAATACTTTGATTACGGATCAACAGCAGCAAGTTTGGGTTCGGCTGGTGTATTATTAGTTGGACTATTACCAGTGGTTACTCTTGCACCTGTTGTTGCTACTGGTGCTACTTTTGCAGGCTAGTTTCCATTTTAGGTTTTTTTAAAATAATTTTATATTTACAAATTAAAAAAATAAATAAATTATCAGGTGTGGCATGTGCCGGCTATGCGGCTGTACGTAGCGTCTATCAGCTATTTGATCGAAAGAAACACGATCAAAGCATTGGCATAAAAAACAAAGAGTCAAGAGCAGCTTATTTTAATATCACATCTGGAGCTTTATGCGGTAAGCTTACCTAATCTAGATTTTGATGGAACAATCCAATTTAGAAAGACTACTTATGTTTTTGTATGATTACATTTTAGCTGGTGCTGCTGTAGGTTCAAGAGCTGCCATACAGGCTGCATTAAATCGACAAACATTATCAAAAGTCGCACAAAGAACAATTACTTACGTTGGTGCCAGTTCCATTGGCTTTCAGGCTGTTGGTTGTGCTGATGAATTGATTTCAATTATATCGGACTTACGTCGAAAAAAACCAATTTCAACGGTATATTTGGCGCAATTTGGCGCACAAATCTTTTTACTTGCACTTTCAGTTAAAAATTTCAAATTAACCGAAAAATTAACGGAAGTTAGTGGTCAACGAAATCCAAAAACGATTCGTAAGATGTTAAGAAACAACAATTCAGATGGTTCATTAAAGTATTTATTTAGTGGTGCTGACTTTCTCGAGAAAAATATTAATGGATTCACCGCAAATTCGATGATGATTCAATCTATTTTTACTGGTTATTTAAACGTCTCTCAAAAGGTCAAAGTGGAATGTGAAAAATATTTTGACGAACGATTAAAGACAATTCTTGATATCCTTGTAAGAGATGGATTAATCAACAAAGAAGAATTCAAAGCAATAGATCAGTTATTAAAATACTTTTTGGAAACTATGAACCTGAGTTCATTGGATAAATTTTTTGAATTAACAAAAAAATTTGTGATTGAATCAGCCGAAATGCCCAAAAGTAAGACAATTCGCGAATTTTCATTCGATTGTTACTTGAAATCGGTTTATATATCAATGATTCGAAATCAGAACAACACAAATATCAACGATTTTCTATCAGCTTTAACTAATGACAGTTTTGATATGATGGTTGATGAGATAAGATCAGATGGTTCTTCGATTTTCGGTTTGTGCTGCCAATTTGATGATATTTTTGGTGCAAACCTAGAAAAAGAAATGAGCCTTGGAAGAAAAATTTCATTGATAATTGAGGAACGTTGTCAAATATTCGTTACAAAATTTATTGAATTTCCAATACAATCGACTTTGGATAATTTAGCATTATCAGCTCAATATGTTTTGCGACGTTTGGCAATCGAAGCGGCCACGTTATTTTTTGGAATTACTAAACAAATTTTAAATGAATGTGTGGCTCAGTTTATTAATCAAAACTTTTCCCAACATGAATTCATTAAAAAAAGTTTTCAAATGCTTTTGAAGAAATGTAATGGCAACCTAACGAATTTGGAAAAATATATTAAAGTATTGTTTGATAACAAAAATGGTGAATATGATCGAATTAAAAAGGATATTCTTGATCATTATTTTTCATCGAGACAAGAAACCACATTAAAAGAATGCAAAGTTTGTGGAGGCGAAAATTTCATTTAAATACATGATTTATTATGATTTATTGTAAAAGAATGCACAAAAATAATGCAACTAACATCGTTCAATTTTTAAATATTTTAAGTTTAAGGCTTTACGTTTATTTTGTTTGTTTGTTTGTGTTCTAAAATATGATTAAGTTTTACTTTCGACTTTTTAATTTGAGAATGACTTTGAAGAAGAAATGGCGTCATCCGAAGGACTTAACAACAGCTAGAGAGCATATTATTACTAAATTCGATATGATTTAAAAAAAATTGATTTATTTCATTCCCAACAATTTTTCTAAAGACATTTTCTTGGATTCACTAATTCACTAAAAAAGATTTTTAATAGAACCACATCGATTTTTAAAAACGATTAAAACTACAATATTTTGATAAAGAATTAATATCATAACTAGAGTATATTGAAGTAGTTGATAATAATATATGAATAAAAAATGTTTTTTTTTTCGATTGCCATTGATTTTAGTAATCTTTGCATTCTGTTTACAATTCTGTTTACAATTTAAAAGAAAAATATTGACTAACTATAAATCATGTATGCATTATCTTACTAATCCTTAGAATAAAATTGTGAACTATATATAAAATAATTTCGATGAGAATGTACGGAGATTCGTTCTATATTTCAGAAAAAAATGGTCAAAAATATTTCTTTTGTTCTTTTTCGTTGTTCATACGTGCACAATATTTTATATGAAAATCTCATAAAAATGTGAAAAATATATAGTTAATACAATGTAATGTTCTTATTGCAAATGGTAAAAAGGCATGCATAAATGCAATCGTCAAATATTTCGACTAATAAAAAAAAAAATTTAAAAAAATAAATGCACAGAGCAAAAACGCTATTGTATAATACTATAAAAAATAAATTTCTCTCTCCCAACTTGAACAAAATCTCAATTTAGATGCCACTGTAGACTCACACTGCAACGCTGAGTGATTTCTTCTTCGGGAATAATAATAATTTTGTGAGCATTGAAAAAACGCATGGCATTTGTTTGGCAGCTACTTCACCCGATTGATAATCAATAGCAACGCTTTGATTGACTAACGTGAGTATTTGAAGAAAATGTAATTCATGCTTTTTCTCATTAAGTACTTTACAGAGAGATTGAATGTACCAAGTACCATGTTCAGTGTCACGATATGATAAAAAGCCCAATTTTGTGGAAAATATAACTAAAAAATCTTTTTGTGGCAAATTCTTTTTTTTATCAATATGGACGGCATCAAATGGTTTATATTTGGCAGATGAAAATGGAATAGCAATATCACCTCCAGGTCTTCGTCGCCGATAATTTTCAATTGGCACACCATATCCCTCGTCAACGTCGTAACCCTGGCAAGCGGCTATGAAAAAAATTCTTGGCTTGGACGCCAAAGTTGGACAGTTTTCATCTGTGAAGTATTCCCAGAGCATTTGCAAAGGATATTTATTATCGTATGCGTGGAGGTAGCTGACAAGATCATGTGTCAATATTGTTGTGTATTGTTCGCGACGACCAACCAGTGGTACAGAATCACCGTGTGTTAAAACAGCAATCAAAAAACAGTCACAATCCGAATGATCCATTTCAGCGACTGAAAAACAAACGAAAGAATTATTGAAGATCAGTCAAAATTTTTGTTTTCTGAATTTGAATCTGCTCACTTTCTTGAAGAACGCCCCTTATTTCAGACACCGTTTCATTCTCAAAAATTTTAACATCGAAGTCAAGTGACTCAAGTGTTGTTTGCAATCGATTGCGATCGGCACTCGATCCATTTCTTGGTTTATTACATTCGAATAGTTCATGGTTGAATATCAATGCCAAGCCACGTCGCCCGTGGTTCATTTTGTAATAGTGATTTGGATTGAGTTCTTCCATTTGCTCATCTTCTCCATCTAAAAAATCCAGCTCGGTATTCGTACTGAAATTTCAACAGAAAATTAATATTTGATTCGTAGTTATAGAGGAAATAATTCATATTTATGCAGGTATCGATGCAGAATTGCACTTTGTATAAATAAGTGTAAATAATTACATGTACATATGTGTATTAAACAAACACTATCCCAATCCATTTTGATCATATAAATATTTACCTTGAAATATCGATATCAATTTTGATCTTTTCCTGATCCTTATTACCAATGGGTTTCTTGCAGCCATTTGGTGTTCCATTGCTAAACAACGAATTTTTTTTATCAAAATCTTTAAAAATGTTCACTATCCCTTATCCCATGCTGTGGAATAATTTTTGTTCATGAAATTATGGGCAATAAAGCAATAAACTCACCTCGGTGTGTATTCAACCTCTTCAAGTTTGTTAACGTCAGATGCACTTTTTCTGCAGCAAACTTTTGTCAATGTATTACCCATTTTGAATCGTGATTACTTTATTCAAATTTTATAAAATTAAAAAATAATCGACACTTTGTTAGAAAATTACACTAAAGAATGAATATGACGTCACAAATAAATTTTCTAACAGAATTTTTGTGCGATAAACACGCACAAAATTCAATGTCAATGGAATTATGAAAACAATGTTAATGAATTATGCAAAAATGGTACACATTGCATAGCTGTCACGAATGTCACTGACTTGTAGGAGAGTTCGAGAAGATCTTAAGGCCGGTACGCTTGCGAACAAGAAAACACAACTACAACTTTATTTCATTCATATGTGTGGTACCAGATTGTACTACAAAAAGGTCAATAGTCTATTACACGCATCATTTCATAATACACATACATGTTTAATATTGACATACAGTAACAAATAGTGCATAGCAATGCACATAATTATCAATCGTATTACCATTAAGCTGTATTCACGGAATTTACTAAAAAATGTGTCTAAGTATGCAGTAATTCCGATGTTTGGATTATTTAGCTGAGAGAGAAATTCCGCGATTTCATTTTCAAAATTGATTCCATTGTCATCAAAAAATGGTTTCCACTAGATGGCGTTGGGTGTGTCATAACATCAGATTTTGACACATCATAACAAAACATCAGATTGAACAAGATTCAATTTACTGAAGGTATGTTTTGGTCAATATTTGGATTAATTACCGGTATCAAGTTGCTGTTTTTACCAGCGTAGTAAGTACCTTCATCCATAGACACCACAAAATGACCAAGTGCATTTTTTGTTTCATAACTCTCTTACTAAATTCATGTATTTCATTTTAGCCGGTCGACCGATTTTGAGGTACATCGAAATTGGCTGGCAATTACACATTCATTACCAATATCAAAATGGTACGTCGAGGCAACAAGCGAATGGACATTGGATTATCCTCCAATATTTGCATATTTCGAGTACGCGTTGTCAAATTTTGCCAAATACTTCGATGAAAACATGCTGAAAGTGAATAATCTCAACTATGAATCTAATGAAACAATAGTATTTCAACGTCTTTCGGTTATCATCACCGATATTGTCTATGCTATTGGAGCGAAAAGGTAAACTCATCAAACGGAAAATAATTTTAAATGAAACATTTTCATACTTTGTAGATGTATCACTCAAATGTCTCCTATCGCATCCAAACAACGTATTTTGAGCGCTGTTTTACTGGGAAATTTCGGCCTGTTAATCATTGATCACATTCATTTTCAGTACAATGGAATTCTCTTCGGAATTTTATTGCTAAGCATAGCCTATATGTGCGAAGAAAAGTTTTTGAAGTCGGCATTTTGTTTTGCCGTTCTATTGAATATGAAGCACATCTTTGTATACGTAAGCCCGGTATACATTGTGTATTTGTTGAAAGTTTATTGCTGGCATAGTTCATCGCTCCAAAGAGCAATGCTGAATTTGACAAAATTGGGAATGATTACAATTGGGGTAACTGTGGTGTCGTTTGGACCATTCATACATCAAATGCCGCAGGTTCGTCAATCTTTCGATATTAATTCACTATTATGCGCTAAAACTTTTCATTAATTTCAAATAGGTTTTGTCACGTTTATTTCCATTCAAAAGGGGACTATGTCATGCCTATTGGGTAATTATTTTTAGATCTTTTTGTGATAATTTTCTTTAATTATTATTTCATTCATTTCAGGCACCGAACTTGTGGGCAATTTATAATGTTGCCGACAAAGTGGCATCGATTAGCTTGGGTAGTGTTTCAAATTCCTCAAACACAGGCGGATTGGTTCAAGAATACAGTCACCAAGTTTTGCCTGTAATTCAACCACATATGACATTCATGGTCACCATGTTGGCTATGATTCCGTGCATCATGAAAATTGCATTCGGAGCCTATGATAGGTACGCTTTTGTAATATTTTAAATTCAATTGAAGCGATATGAAATGACATTTTTCAATGTTTCTTACAGGTCAACAAACAAATTTGACTTTGTTCGTGGCATTGTGATTTGTGGATGCACATCGTTCTTATTCGGTTGGCATGTTCATGAGAAGGCAATTTTAATGACAGTCATTCCCCTAAGGTTAGTTTATGTCACTATCTCAGTTCGAAAAAACACTCTTTAATAGACCCACATTTTAATTCAATCTTTTCTAATCTTCTTTCAGTATTCTCATGACAATCAACCAAAGCGAATACAAGCATATGGGGTTCTTATCAATTGTGTCGTATTTCTCATTATTTCCACTGCTTTTTAAATCGAATTTAGTTGTGATTAAAATTAGTTTGCTCATGACACATATACTTATCATTTCAAACGGTCGAGGAAGTATATGGCCATCAGAATGTCACAAGCGTATTTTTCCAATTCATGAACTACTCTATATCATTGGCTTGATTGGATTACTTTTTTACGAACTTTGCTTACAATATTTACTAAAATTAGACAGAAGACTGCCATTTTTACCACTGTTACTAACAAGTGTTTATTGTAGCATGGGAATTATTTATTTCTGGTTGAAATACTATGTCATGTTTTTATTTAGTGCTAACACTAGCAATAAAAATACTAGAAAAGATAAGAAACTTAATTAAGGAAAAGTGTTATTTATCAGAATCTTTATTGAATGAACAAAATTTTTTTAGATACATGCAAAATTGCAATTGATTCTATATGTTTAATTGTCTGAACATTTGAATAAATCGATCGACGTACGACGTGGAAATCCCTGTTCAGGTTGAATCTTTTGGTTATTATACAGCCAGTATAAATCTCCCTTAAAGAAATAAGTTTTGCCATCGGTCATTGAAATGGCTGAATCAATGTTATTAGGAATGCCATGCCATTTCTCGCCCAAATTTTTTGGATAATCCACGTCTTTTTCACGGCGTTCTTCATTGTATCGAATAAATGTGTTTCCACTAAACAAATATGTCTGACTATTTTTACTCCAGATCATAACAGCATCCACCTTATTTATGTTATTATCAAAACCAAATTCGATTATTGGCCGTGGGCTATTTTCGATTAAGTCATATCCATCGTAGATATAGTATTTATGGCCTGTTTCATTGTCAAAACACATGAATATCTTTTATGAGAAAGAGTTCAAGTAAAAAATGCATTTAGTTGTATATACCACCAAACAAAATAATAGCTCCGTCTGTTTTTCGTTCATAGGCTGCATCAATGCGTCGTACATTGCTTGGAATATTTCGAAAAATATCACTTAAATGCGTTGGATAACCGGGAAGCACTTGAAAATCTTCGGATAAACGCCATACATATTTATTCTTGAATAAAAATATTTCACCTCGCAACAAAGCCATCGTGTCGAAATTAAGAGTATCGCACAAATTCGGAACTCGTGTAGGATTGAATGATTTGCATACGGAGTGATGCTGAAATTAAGTTTCGATTAAATAATGTTTCTCAGCCTTAATAATTAACGAACATACATTATCACACTCCGGACTCGATGTAGTTTCTCTTGATGGGATTGTCGTTGGTTCTTTTCTCGGTGTACTTACTGAACCCGTTTCCACTTTGGGTGTAAATGTTGATGCCTCAGTTGTTGTATCATTAATAATATCATTAATAATATGTTCGTTCTTTACTGATATCAAGTAAAATTCATGAAATAGAACAATTATTTTAAAGCATACAAAATATAAACTTTGCTAGTTGCTTACTGTACAATTCGTACATCGCCAAAATATCATCGTATCCCAATTCTTTTGATTCTTCTGGTCCTTTATAGTAGGGAAACATGATGGAAGAGAAGATCGGCGAATGGGCCAAGCCAAGACTGTGGCCAAGCTCATGAATGGCAACCGATGTAAAATCAACACCTATTTGAAAAGAAAATAATTCAAATCAAATGGAACAATTTCAAAAATGTCACGAATTCACCGTCATTCAGATTTGATGCGTTCTCTTTCCAATTTTCATCGTTATCAAAATGAATGTCACCACCCAAACTTCCCAATGAATATGGAAAAAATGCATGAGCTAGAACAGATCCGGGACCATCAAATGGATAAATATCTCCATGATACCTTGAACCAAACGACACAATTATATCGGCATTCGATTCAAAAACACGCACGAATTGTAAATTCGAATATTTCGACCAGAGTTTAAATGCTTTCTTCATGCCTTCCGCCACTTTATCCTCACCAACTTTTGGAGACCAATTTTGAATGCTTAAAGAAAAAATTCAGTCTTTTATTAAGAACTCTTGGTTTAATAATTGCACAAATACTAGTAAGTAAGTCGTCGCTTCATCCACCCTCTGGAACCTAGAATAAATCGTTTTGCTCGGCTGTGATTTAGTACAGATGAATGTTTCGTAATATCAGCGACACCGCATCGAGGTGATGTCAATAACTAACGAAATTTTATTCAATTTTTAATAATTAAATATGGATTAATGAAGTTTTTAAGTTTGCTGACCTTAATTGTTGGCTCATCCAAAACTCCCGTTTCATTCAATGATCCAAATTTTTGCATATTTTTTATTCCGGCGACAATGGCATCTTCATGATACAGTGTATCTATTGTTGACCCACCTATTGATGATGACCTTGCACTTGAATTCAAGTAGCCAAATTTTTGCATAAAACCCATCTGTTTGACAGAAATATTGAGAATTTCGAATGAAAAATAAATAAATTTGATTAAATATCAAATATACATTTTACACTTGAAATAATAGAAAAAACCCAAGGTTATCACAACTGCACGGAGGTGACCGATTTCGCCGTTTACGATAATTGTTAAAATTTCGGTTTTTCCAGACATTATATTGAGATATTTTTAGGCAGCTGATTCAACTCAGGAAGCTACCACCAGGCGCTGATATTGAGTGAAAGGTTTCATTGAAAACAATAGAAGTGATTGTTATTGTGATGGACATAATGCAATGGAGTTTATATAGCTACTTCTACTTGTATTGTTCTATTTCAGCGCCTGACGTTAGCTTCCTGAGCTGATTTTCACGTGTAAAAATATGTTTGATCGATGAACAAATTCATCGTTGGAATAAACCGATAGTAAAGAAACATGATGTTTAAAAAATCTAATGAATTTATGAATCGGTTAGAATATTCGTGAGCTCAGGAAATTCAGAAATTATGTTGAGATGTTTTCAGCCAGATATCGTCAGGAGCTGAAATGGAGTGAAAATAATAAAAGTGATTGTTATAGTGATTGTAGCTTCTATTGTTTTCACTCAATTTCAGCTCCTGACGATATCTGGCTGAGCTGATTCATCTGGCTAAAAATATCTCAAAATAATGTCTGAAAATTTGTTAAAGTGCAAAATGTTTTTGGGCAAGTTGCAGTTTTATTTTGACAAATTCCTGGAGGTCACGAATATTCTAGCTGGTTCATATATTTGTATAATTACAATTTGAGTTAAATTGGCTTGATTTCCTTCCCATGAAAAATTGATCGGATGACCATTTATATACAGCACAAAAATTGATATGAGCACGGAAAAAACGGAAATATTTTCATAAAGCAAAAGAATCATTTTAGAAACAATAGTCACTTCAGTTGAAAGAAAAAAATATAAATCCAATGCTTTATGCTTGTAAGAAAACAAATAAATGCGCACGTTCATGCGAATGTTCTTGACAACACTAAAGACATCAGCATAAAGTTATGATTAATAATTATTCCTTATCTCAATTTGAAGACAAAACAGACATTTGTGATATAGCATTCCTATTATATACAAGCTATCTTCAATGTCACATAAAATAATAAGAAATATACATTTTCTTATCATCATTCACAACATGGATTAATTTTGAATTGAACATTTTTCCATTGCAAATCTGTGAAGTTCGGCGAATTTCGTATTTAAATGAAGTCCATGACCTTTTCTGAAATTAAAAAAGTAAGAATATGATACGCAGCTAAGCTATTCAGTTAAATTCGACTTGTTTTTATTTTATCATACAAATATCAATTTCATAATTTGGACTATATAAATTTACAAAAATATCGTGTATGTTCGAATATATGTTTTATGTTGTCGAAACAAGGCTTTAAACGCAAATTAAATGTCTAATTAAATTGATTACATATTAATTCAACGAAGTTACGTCTTAACAATTCAATAATGAAGCTGGAGTATTTATAAAAAAACCGTTATTTTTGTGTCATTTCATCCAAAGGTTGATTATGGTTTTTTCGATTTGCATACCGTGCAATAGTCAATATTGTATTTGTCTGGCAAACACATCTCATGGAAAAAGTGCCGACAATTGAAAGCAATGATTTTCATTTTCATCTGATCTAAAAATTAAAAGATAATGAATCAATTTCGTATTTACTCAAAATTTTAGAAACCTTATACCTTTTAGAATGATATCCTTTTGGCATAATCCACATATATTATCGTTTGAAATGTAAACCGCTTTTTGTTGGCATCGTACATGACGATCATGAAGTTGAAAATAATCACCCACCAAAATATCATTGCAACCATCTTGTATCGATACTTGTAATCGTAAATCACACAACATTTTCACCAGCGACTCCTTCAGACCTGGTATACATTGTCCCATTTTGATTTTATTGACTAAAATTTCTGGATTAATGAAACCGGCAATTCCGTCCAATAATTTTGTCATAATTTCGGGCCGATCAAGTGATTGGTTGATCAACTCATTCCATAGATCGATGTCATCGTGCTCTTTGCAAAAATCAATTGCCATTTGAATGTTATCCAATTTATTGATGATAATTGACAATGCTTCAATCGTATTGCCCATTCGACCATGTAAATACACCATTTCTGGATAAAATAATTTACTCGTACACACGCTCAACGCTTCTTCGATAGGATAGCTGTTGGATCGCTTTAAAAACGGCAACAATTTTTCACGATTATATTTGGCATAGAGGTGAACCAACTTTGCATGAAATCGTCCCGAATTATCGACTTTGTCAAAAGCATCAAGATACTACATTGTAAAAAAAAAGAGTTTCATTTTCATTATTTACATTGATTTAAAATCAGATTATCATAATAAAACCGGCTGTTTACCATGTATAAATACTCCTCGTGATTTTGCAGTTGAGATACCACCACATCGGCTGGGATTTTGTTACGCTCCAATAACATTGCAACGGCCTGTTCACTATCCAACTGAATTAATGGCACGATTGTGCGATAGATTACATCGTATAAGTTATGCTTTTTTATCAATTTAAACACGTCCTTGTGTTGCAGCCTAAAATCATTGAGTTCATCAGTTAGATTCGAATCTAATGTTCAGTGGATTGATTTGCATGTTAAATACTCACTTTAAATACATTGTCAATGCTTTTTCGTATTTGTGTTCATATGAATATAAAAGTGCCAATGATTCTAGTAAAATGTCTTTGTCTCGTTCATTGAATTGTTCATGAACTGCATTTATTACGGCCGATGTATTGTAAAGCGATGGTTCCCATTCCTTTATTAACATTAAGAATCCGGCTGCATCGAATTGTAGATATTCATACAGAACCATTTCGTAAACGTGCGGCTTCAGTTTACAATCATTTCCACGAGGAAGATATTGACTAACCGATCTTTTTTAAATAAAGAAATAAACATTTTAATTTTGATCGAATGCCACAATGTGACCTTGTCATATTTAAAATCTTGCTTCAAAATTGCAATTGGTCCAATTTCAAAAAAAAAAAAAATCAAACTTTTCACACCAGTGCAGTCTCTCATATAAATAGATAGATATAAATATATAGATTCACCCATCTTCGACTGCACATTGTTTGAAATGTTTTTCACATTTTTTTGTATTTACTTTCAATTCATTTTACACAATGACACCATTGTTGCTATTAGCGAATCTATATATTTTACATCTGCAAATATTTATCTATCTACTTCCATTGTATGCCATCTCCAGAGAGATACAATCATTCAAGGTTGAAGTCAAATAAAATACTAACCGTAATTTTTGTACTTTTACAAATTTGAATACTTCCTCCTCCCATAATACTTTGTCATTGCCGAAGATTGTTTGACACAATTTAGCGGCTTCATCGTATTTCTTCTGCGCCAGTAAATGGTCCAAATATAATCTAGCTACGCTTACCAACGAATACTTGCCACCATGTTCGGTTATCACTTGCATTGCTTGGTCGAATTTTCTGTAAATGAGAAACACAAAATCGATTTCAAGGCTCCACTTATATTTTTGAATAAAAAATTTACACATTACATAAATCACAGAGCTTCGAATCATTGACTATGGTAAACAGACTTGTTTTAAAATTGATCGACAAATGTATCACAACAGTGTGTTGGAGAGCTGCTCCAATCGTAGAAATATTCCTTTGGTCGTTGGATGTTGGTGGCATTTGCTTGTTTAAATGTGCATAGAAGACCTCGATAAATGTCTCTCATATTTGAAGGAGTACGTTTATGCAATACAATATGATAGTTTTGACATTTTCTTGGCAGATAAGCGGTATCAAAGCGGGGATCATGTTTTTTATAGACATTCCGAAGTGAGCTTAACCAAACGCCCATTGATATATCTTCGCTGACGTATCGATTCAACGTTTTATGATTTTGAGCCACGAAATGCACTAAATTCTTTGAAATAACATAACCACCGCCCAGAGCATATGGCAAATAGCGATCACATAGATTAAAATTCAACTCTTTCCATTGTCCCTGCTTCAAGACTGTTGCACGACCATTGAAATAACCCCAGTAAAGTTCTGGTTTTATTGTGTTTTCTGTCGATTGTTTACGCTTGATAAGCTTGTCATATCGATGTAAATCTTGCAGTAAATAGTCGAGTTTAACATATGTATCATCATCGACTTTTAGCATATATTCAAACGTTCCAATATTGCTAACTGCTTCGATTGTCTTCAATAGTTTTAACGTGAGATTTGTGTATGAATCACTTAAGCCACTCAAAAATAGCAAATCATTATGTTTTGCATGCTCTTTCTCAAGCTTATTCAATTCGATGAATGGTAAATTTTCGGTGCCAATTACAAAATAGTGTAAAATTTTCACATTTAAATCTTCCAACATTGGCTTATAAATTGCTTTTGACATTTTTTCCTTGAAATCGTCAAGCATAGAGCTCTGCTGAGCAATACTGTCTTGTTGCAAAAATCCACTGTGGTCAAATTCCAACGAATCGAAATTGTCGATGCGGTGACCGACATGAGATTCATCGATTTTTGGCTTAAGATTCAACCATGTTTGTCGAATGGTATTACGTTGGTCTATGTTTTTCGGTGCCGATAATACGACAATCACCAGAAATATTGCACTTGTTGAAACATTGTGATTTGACGTCAAATGTTGCCGTTCAAAATCGGTTTTACAATTTTTCACATTGATCACTGATAAGGTTATGGTGCAACCAGCAATAAAAGCCAGCCCAAGCGTTAGTAAATTAAAAAAAAATGCTCTTTTTCGACACAAAATCATTTTGAATGGCACAACACAGATGACGATGATGTGAACGTTGATTCCTATTTTATGACTTCTGTCAAAAGTATCACCTAACCTCAAACAGTTTTCAATTTTTAGTTGTCAAACAAATACTACGCTGCAAGTCTGTTTACATATTAATACAAGCACTAATGTCATTTGATTTGAACGCAAATAGCATTTTTTATAAACGATTCATAACAAAACATTGATAAAACTTACTCATGTTCGATAAGCCATTTAATTCGGTCGTCATTTTCATATAAACTAGCCACAACGATATCTTTTGGAGACACAATGAAATATTGATTCTCTTCGATTAACGTATCCAAATGGTAATCGTTGACCTTATATTCTGAATATCTAAATTAAAGCAAATAAAAAATTATAATCATTGTTTACTCTGAGATTATTAAAAAAAAAATGATTTGAGTAATCAATTAAAATTGAAATTCACCCCCTTAATGATAGACTGTTTGTGCAAATTTCTTCGTAATCGTAACTTTTATATTGAATGACCAACAAAATTGGGCGTAGCGCTTTATTTGTTTCGGAATCTTTTTCTTTGGGATAGCCTAACACAACTAATTGATCGCTTTCGAGAGGTCCCAGGCCACAGATATAACAATCCATTTGAAATGTTGAGACTATAATACGAAAGACCGATAAGAAAAGAGAGATGAAAGTCGACAGAATTTAATCTATTTCTGTCATGACGAAAAAAAAATCACGAAGCACTTACTTGGATCAACAATGAAATCAGGTAGTCCGCGTGTTGAAACTTCCACCGAATTGCGTTTTCGAATCACACAAATCCGAACGATATCAACCCATCCGATTAGGAGTGTGGTAGAATTTGACCATTTCAAATTACATCGAAAATCATTGAGCAATTGATTTTTTGGCTCTTCCCATTTAATTAATCCCAGCGAACATTTTTCATTCAAATCATAGACACGCACACCAATTGCACTTGCCTAAAGGAAAATCACGAAATGAATTCAATCAATTTTTTTATAATTTGTGAATATAGCCAAAAAGGTATATTGGAAAAGTACTTGCCCATGCCACAAAATGATCGGTCCATGCAATAGCCGATACAACACCTTCGGCTTCACATAGAACCGTTTGTTTGATACCTTTCAAAAAGGTTTTTTCATGCAATGTTAACTTATTGTCACCAATGATGAAACGACGCCCGGATCCCGATTTATAATAAATTGGATCGAGTGCAATTGTTTTCACAGCTCGTCCAAATTTCATTTTATGATTATTTTCATCGGTATAAAAACCACTGATTACCACCGTACCATCGTCAGAGCATGTACCGATGTATTCGCCTTTATTGTCAATTGAGATCTGATTCACGGAAACCATATGCGCTGGAAAATCTTGGGAATTATTTATTGAATTTTCAACGGTGTTCCCTTGATGATCCAATAAATGTACCGCACCCCAATGCGTTCCGATGCATAAAAACTTTTGAAATGACACACAAATATGATTAAGAAATGAAGGACAACTGATTTTGTGGGTGTTTTACCTTTGAATGCACAGCAATGCAACTGACTGCATCTTTATTCAGAATTCGTTTTAGGTCATTTGATATGCGGACATATTTCAATTTTGGTTCAATCTCCTCTTCATCGGAACTTTCATTCTCTTGCATCTACAGTATTCAATAACCAAAAAAATTGAACACATAAAAAACATGTTTATCATTTATGAAATAAAGTAAAAATTATTTTGACGCACTATTGTTGTATTTGCAGACATTTTCAAATGAGCTATGCACAATATTTAAGGCGATCGCATTGAACTACAATGATATTCATAAAAAAGTGAACGAAAAACAGAACTGAACAAAGAATTACTTTACTCCAATTCAAATGAATTGATATTTATAGACAAAATTTTAGTATATGTAACACAACAACAAATTCTCATTTTTTGACATATGAGTCAGTTTGTGATGACAGCTGATCAGTATTCACTGTTCAGCAATGTTTGTTGTCGTATGTAGTTCACCATTCCACACACAGAGGCTCTTCCTATATTCCAACTTAATTTTTGTTTGTTTTCAATTCTTTCGTAGAAAAATGTGTGTATTTTTTTTTGGAAAATTAAAATCATTTGTTTAGTAATTGTATGAAATTCGACTTGATGAACATGATGTATTTAAATTTAATTTAAAAAAAATTCAATGTATATCACTTGAATAACGTCATGAGGATGAATGACATTTCGGCACCGATTTTTCAACTATCAAAAATGTTGTTGGATTTGCGCCGGTCACGCAAATCTGGTTGTCTATCAATTTTTCTTGTATTGACATTTCAAGAGGCTTCCTACCTCGTCCGATAGAATAGTTTTGTTCTAAAAACCAGCATTTATTGTACATTTTCAAAACAAATGGGAAAGCAAAATAATACAAAAATGGGTGTGGAAACTAAAAGTGTTCGTCAAAGGAAGAAATCAGATAAATCAAATGATAGTGAACAAGAGGTGGTGGTGAAGAAAGACTCAGCCGTAAATGGCGATGAAAAAAGTTCGAAGCAGAGAAAACAGTATGATATTTATCAAATAAAATCCAATTTTTCGGCAGTTTATGTTTACTTTCTAACTATAGGAAAAAGCCTGCGTCCATTTTAACAAGTTATCGAATTTGGACACGTTTGGTTATCGTTTCTGCTGTCCTCATAATCGGCTATTTTACTGCAAATAAAAATAAAGAGCGACCATTTGCTCTGCGACGCGAAAAAATTGTATTAAGAACACAAAATGTCGACTGTTCGCCGGATTATTTGAATGAAATTGCTGGATTCAAAACGTGCGTTCCGAATAAATGCGGCCGTTTTGTGAGCGATAGTTTGGTCACAGAACAAGAGGCCAATCTATTATTGGACCTTGCTATCAAAGGCTTATCGTTCGGCGGTGGTTCTGGCGGTGTATCGGTGAATTTCTGTTTTGTGAATTTAAATTTAATATTTTTATAATTCTCTTAATTTCTTTTTTACGAATTTTAAGATCCTTGACTTGCACTCTGGCGCCCTTTCCAAAAATGAAAATTTTGTCAACATTTATACACTGCCTGAGGCTAAGGGCTTTTTAAATGATGAAGTTTTGAAAGCATACAAGGTACAATTCAGACCTGAGCTAGAACTGTTTTTTTATCAAAAATTGTATGTGGTAAAAGAAAAGCGTTTCTTGTGGGAGTGGAATTTCGGAGGTTCTATTTTATAAAACGAATTTAAAAACGTTTTCACGTTACCGCATACACATTCAATATCAGCTACAAATGAAGAATACCCATCAATTGCAGTCCATTCTTTATAATTTCCTTTTTTTCAGATTATTCGATTAAAAATAGCCAAAGCTATTGCGGATAAATTTGCCATCGATGTGAACGCAATTTATCTCACTCATCCCACATTCATTTCCCGAATTGACAATACAACGGCAAAAACCGTTCACGATGAATATTGGCATCCTCATGTAGACAAAGTAAGTACCAACGAATAGATTCAAACTGATATTTGAACAAAAAACTTCAACCATTTCAGGAAACATACAGTTCATTCCATTACACAAGTTTATTGTATTTAAATGATCATCGTCGTGATTTTACTGGTGGTCGATTTATATTCATCGATGTAAACAAAGACGATAACCGAACAACGTACTCATCGATTGAGCCGAAGAAGGGACGCGTCAGTGTGTTTACATCAGGCGCAGAAAATATTCATCATATCGAAAAAGTTACAATGGGCACCAGATACGCAATGACTATATCATTTTCGTGCAATCGTGAATTTGCCATCGCTGATCCAGCCGAACAAAAGCACACCGACAAAAAATGAAAAGACGATGGAAATGTTAAAAATGAAAAGTGAAATTATACACATTCCCGTATAAAAAGATACACTACCGATATCAGATTGTAAATATATAATTGAATCTGTGTTTGGAGAAAATAGTCATATTTGCGTAAATGTTGCCGTGAGTTTTTAATTCGATCTTAGGTAAATTTGATTGCTAGTGATTTAGTCGAATCGGTTTTTTTGGTTTTTAGACTATCATATCATTAAACAGACAAAATAAATAACTGAAACAACCACAACAACCAATTAGTTTTTGTTGTTAGAGAAAGTAAATTGGAATATTTCAGTCCATCTGAATAAAAGTTGAATGTGATATACGGAATGTTGGATTTCAGGTAAATTGCTTAAAAAAATATCTTTCGATCTTTTTTTTTTTGGTGTTTAACAACATTTTTTATAATTCAATTAGAAAAGTGTTATGTTTTCTCATTGGGAATTAAATTATTACACTCTTTGTCTCTCATCAAAAACACTGATTCTGTTTTCATGGAATCCATATCAACCATCAAATATTTTTGTGATAAATTGCTTGATAAATTTACCTTGTAGCAATTCCTGTATTCATCTTAAAATACTACGGAATGTGTTTAAAAAGACAAATCGTATGTTATTTGTACAGTGTGTTATTTCGATCAACTAACTACTACATGTGTATGGTTTTATATATAGTACATAAAATATACAACAATGAGACAATACACATAAAGAACAGATCTTGTTATCATTATAAAGTGTTGAAAACATCACAATAATAACATCAATTCTTTGCTTGTGTATGTTGGTTCAAGCTAATGTTTATTATGAACATCAAAGCCGCTTATAAAGTGTTTTTACACAAGATTCGAAGCATTTGACTGCAATCGATCAAAGAAAATTCACGCATAAACTCAAGTTTTCGGTCAAATATTGATTTCATTTAAAGTGAGTGGAAATATTTTTTTATATTACTAATTAATTATTAAATCAAAAACGAATTTAAAACTGCTCTAAATACAGACAGACACTTTTAAGTGATACTATTTCTTAATAATAAAATAATAGTTAACTTTTTCATTTATTCAATAAAATGACATATCTGTGAAATTTTTACTTTCCATAAGATGTTTTTGTTTTCAATTTAAATTCAATTTTTGATTGTCTCTCGATCTGAATTCAGTGTGCTAAAGTTCACTGTTATTTATTTTTAGTGTATCAATACATTGTTATTTAGTCTCACACTAATCGTATAAAGCATATAACAATAAATAAACAAAATGATTACGTATATTTATCAGCTGGGCTATCAAATAAAGTGGGGGGGTCGGACAAATTCAGATACAGTTCTGTGTTTCCGTTGGTTTAAAATGTGGCTTGGCACATTCGATCAAACTTGTTTTTCAGATACTTTCGCTTTCTGTTGTTGTTTTGTTTCTGCCTTACATAATTGCTCTAATACAAGGCATTAGTTCGATTAAGCTGTGAATTTGACATAAGTCTGACATTATTTTCCATTTAGTTTATTTTCAAAATGACGCAGCAAGGAGCTCCGTTTGATTCAAATGCAATGACATTGACGCGATTTGTGTTGGCTGAACAGAAGAAATTTAAGCATGCCACAGGCGATTTATCACAACTTTTAAACTGCATTCAAACAGCGGTTAAGGCTGTTAGCAGTGCGGTGAGGAAAGCTGGTATCGCTCAACTGTGAGTTTTTTTAAAATATGAAGTTGAAATTTTACATTCAATCGTTGTGTCTAGAGTTTTATTTATTATTGCATTATCTTTTTAAATATTGATTGCACATTTGTGAAGTGAAGAAATATATTTTTTTATTAATTAAAATGTACTTGTTTGTTTATTGACAGACATGGAATATCTGGCGATACAAATGTTCAGGGTGAAGAGGTCAAGAAGCTAGACGTTTTGGCCAATGAATTGTTTGTAAACATGTTACAATCGTCGTATACAACATGTTTATTAGTTTCAGAAGAAAATCAGAATGTTATCGAAATCGATGCTGATAAGCGTGGAAAGTATATTGTTTGTTTTGATCCATTGGACGGTTCTTCGAACATCGACTGTTTGGTATCGATTGGTAGCATTTTTTCAATTTACAGGTATTTTTATACTCTGACATTCACATAGGATTTTTTTTTAAATATGTCCAATGATTTTTGGAAAATTATAGAAAAATTTCAGAGAGTCTACCAACAATTCAAGATGCCCTTCAACCAGGCAATAGAATGGTGGCAGCTGGTTATGCACTCTATGGCTCGGCAACAGCAATGGTTGTTAGTCTTGGAAATGGTGTAAACGGATTTACGTACGATCCAAGTATTGGCGAATTCATTTTGACTGATGTTAATATGCAAGTACCGAAACAAGGAAAAATTTACTCAATCAATGAAGGCTATCAATACCTCTGGGACGATTCGATTAAGAAATACATCGAAGCGAAAAAAGATCCGGCAAAGGGTAAACCATACCATATAATTCTTTTTGATTCTTTGCCGATTATTTCTTCTTTTTTATTTCGTGACTCTCCCTTAAGGTAAACCATATGGTGCTCGTTATGTTGGTAGTATGGTGGCTGATGTTCACCGCACGATTAAATATGGTGGCATATTTTTGTATCCAGCTACTTCACAAAGTCCAAATGGAAAGGTAAAGATTGAATATTAATTGCATTTTCAGTTTCTAAAGAAATTAATTTGGATGTTTCATTCTTTCACACATACTTCTAGTTACGTCTTTTGTATGAAGGCAATCCAATGGCATTTATAATTGAACAAGCTGGTGGAAAGGCATCAACCGGAAAACAACGAATTTTGGATGTTGTTCCAGATTCAATACATCAACGCACTCCGGTCTTTCTTGGTTCAGCAAATGATGTTGATGAAGTGTTGAGCTACATTAGTAATTAAGGATAAATTTACTAAATTATCTCGAATCATAATCAATTATTATAAATATGTTTGGTATTGCCAAAATTTAAAATGGCAACATTTATTTTACTTTTTTCGAAATAAACAGATATTTCAAATTAAGAGGTATTTCTGTATTGAGCAAAAGTGTTAAAGCAAAAATAAGTCTTCGACGATTTTATTAAAATCTGGATTAGAAAATCTACACGATTTAAAAAAAATGTAATTTTCGTAGAATATGTATTAGATCAGCCCAAAAAAAAGTTATATCGGATCAAAATGCCATGAATGAAAATATAACATATGTGGCATCATTGTTTCATCCAAATGTCAATCGGTGGTACTCGATAGGACACTTGGAAGTTTTCTCGATTAACGAATTTGGACCCGTTTCAATGTCCAAAAAAATTTCTTTTCCACTAGAAAAAAAACACGTATGTGGGGGTTTTTTGGCCCGAGGAATTCGAAAATGACGTTAGTTTTGAGATACAATCAAGTTTTAACAGAGTTTCTTTGAAAAAATCACAAAAAAATTGAATTTTTGTATGGGAGCCATACTTTTATGGTATCGCAATGACGTGAAACTTTGCACAGGCTATTTTTTGGACAAGAAAACAACGTTCTCAAAGTTTGAAGAAGTTTCAATACAAATTGGGGGTACCTCTCATACAAAGTTTTTGTATGAGAAGTACCCCTGATTTTTTTCATGAGAAAACTGAAATCTCTTCAATCCCTCGGAATGTCATTTTTGTGTGAAAAAAGTAACCTGTGCAAAGTTTCAGCTCATTACGATATCATATAGGCATGACCTTCATACAAAAATCCAAATTTTTTGAAATTTTTGTATGAAAAGTGAAATTCGAAACGTTATATTCGGTTTTCTCATACCCAATAATATAAAATATTTGTGTGTTTTTTTTCAATTTGTTTATTTATTATAAATTCTATTAATTATTTTAGTTATTATTATTGCAAAACTTATTCAATTTATACAATTTTGCAATTTTATTTGCAAGAAAAAAATATATGAGAACTTGGCGTGACAGAGATGGCGCTTCTTTTAAGAGTCGCGTTCAGATACATTGTTAATATACAACGTAAGTGATACTCGCACTTTACTCTATCAACCAAAGTCGCTCAAAATCTAATGGTTTCTATTCCTCGGCACCCCCAATCATCCTGTGAAGTCAGATTTTGAATTACTTTCCTTGTTTGAAAGTTATCGTGTTAACAAATTTTTGCGTACAGGGTACAGGGTACGCACATACATTTGGACATCTAAAAAATGCTAGATTCGTGTTCCCTGGCCCCAAAATCCGATGGGAACTAGTATCGTATATTCCCCATACAAATTAATTTTATCGATTCTACGAATATGACATCTGTTAAAAAAGATACCGATTTTTGTTACTACTGTTGCTTTGACACAGCTCGAGCGAACTATACGGCTATGGCTGTATTACAGACGAACTAATACAAAAGAACACACAGACTCCGATCCTGTGTATGTATTGTAAATTTTGCACAAGCAGCTACGATTGACGACTGAGTGCAGAATTCGTAATACATACGCATACACAGAATCGGAGTCAGTGTGTTCCTTTGTACGTCTACACGAGCTGTTTTAAAACACCACTAGTAACAGAAATCGGCGAGTTTTTTAGAAGATGTCGTATTGGTGGAATCGATAAAGAAAAATCGACGATATTAGCGCTCATTGCCAAAAACACTCAGAAAACACATTTTTGATGGGTTTTAATTCTTCGACCGATTCCAATACTTTACCTTACACACTAGGTGTGTGCGGAAAAGTAAAAATCAGGGGTACTTCCCATGCAAAATGTTCGTTTTTGGGCCAAAAATCGAAAATTTATTATGAAAGGTACCCTATTTCTGATTGAAATTTTTTAAAACTTGTTGATATTATGTATTTTGGTAGGAAAATAAGATTCACAAGTTTTCACGGTGATTAAGTTACTCCAAATATACATTTTGGGAAGAAATCCAATAAATTTAAAGTCAACAAAATGCAATAAACTATGTTTGTTGTTCCTTAATCACCGTAAAAACATGTGAATCTGATTTTCTTACCAAGATACATAATCTCAACAGGTTTGAAGAAATTACAATCAAAAATAATGATAACCTCCATACAAAATTTTCGATTTTTGGCCGTAAGATGTGTGACATCTCAACAACGACTTTCTCATAAAATTAAAAACATGGTACAGGAATTGCGTTTGAATTGCGTTTATTGCGTTCGTGAAAAAATAAAATTACGTTCGTTTTTAATAAGCGAGGTAGTTTTGTACTAAAATTATCATTTTGAATAAATTCTATATAAATTATTTTACTTTTCCGCACACACCTAGTGTGTAAGGTAAAGTATTGGAATCGATCGAAAAATTAACACCCCCAAAAAACATGTTTTCTGGGTGTTTTAGGAGCCAAGGAACACGAATCTAGCATTTTTTCGATGTCCGAATGTATGTGTGTGGTACCCTGTACGCTGTACGCTGTACCCTGTACGCAAAAATTTGTTAACACGATAACTTTCAAAGAAGAAAAGTAATTCAAAATCTGAGTTCACATGATTGGGGGTGCCGAGGAATAGAAACCATTAGATTTTGAGCGACTTTGGTTGACAGAGTGAAGTGTCATGTCTGGTGTGATGCCCATGGGCATACATGGGAAAAATTCAATTTTTCTTCCAAAAGTGATATTTAATGTATACTTAAACACTCAGAAATGTGTATCGGGGGGTTTTTGGGTACGAGAAAACCGAATATGACGTTGGTTTTGCGATACAAATAACTTTCGACACACTTTTCATACAAAAATGTCAAAAATTTTGGATTTTTGTATGAAAGCCATGCCTGTATGATATCGTAATGAGCTGAAACTTTTCAAAGGTTTTTTTTATCACACAAAAATGCCATTCCGAGAGTTTGAAGAAATTTCAACGCATATTAGGGGTACCTCCCAAACAAAATTTTGGATTTTTCGCTCAAAAAAATCTTTTTCGCATTGAAATTTCTTAACTTTTTGTGAAAAAAATAACCTCCCCAAATTTTCACATGATTTTTAGTTTTTGTATGAAAAGTAAATTATTTGTATCGTAAAACTAATGTCAGATTCAGTTTTCTCGTGAATTCTTCGAGTAAAAGATTTGTAATAAATGCATGTTGTGGATCACAGTGCGGAAAAGTTCATCTTACGGATGTAAGACATTTTATTTTTATATTAAAATGAGATTGGAATTGTGTTCGAATTGCGTTCGTCACAAATGAAGAAGAATATTTTGAATTTTTCCATTTTTAGTGGAAATTTTGAACTTCGAATTTTTTTTTCGAAAAATACCCAAAAAATAAAAAAATAATAATATGCAGTAATTGCGTCAGAACTACGTTGATTCAAAATCACTTGGTTCCAAGTTGATTGAAAAATTTACAACAGAATTTTTTGGAAATGCTTTTAAAAAAATGTGCCTAATTTGTGCCATTTAGTGCCGTCGAAGAAAAAAAACGTGTGCCCGAAGGGTTCATATGAATATGGCATGTGGTTTTTCGGGGGTTAGGGGTAGATTTTTCAAAATTTTGATTGGGGCCGAAAAAGAAAAATCGAATGATGCAAAAAATGTGTGCCCAATTTGGGCCCAAGATTTGACATATTTTCCCGTCATCGCCTATTAAGGGGGTGGGTTTCTGGACATCGACTTTTTCAGGGGTTGAAAAAATCATCTCTTTTTGATGCGAAAAATGTGTGCAAATGAAATAACTTTTAGAGGGTGAAATGAAAATACTGACCAAAGGTACCAATCGAGAGCACAAATTGGGCACGAATATTGAATCTAATTTAAATTGTTTATCTTCTGATTTTCAAATAGATTTACAGTCAAGGTGCGGGCAGTGCTCTCATACGACGAACAAATATACTTGAATCGATTGTACGATCTTGCTCCGAAGTACTAAATGGCACACCATTCACGGTTAAAACACGAACGGGAATCTATTCGAATAAAAGTGTTGCACATGAATTGGTGCCAAAATTCGAAGAGTGGGGAGCCAAAGCTGTCACAATCCATGGACGTTCACGCGAACAACGTTATAGCAAAAATTCCGACTGGGAATACATTGAAAAGTGTGCACAACAAGCAAAAACCATTCCAATCATCGGAAATGGTGATGTGCAGATTACGACTATGAAGATTATCTTGAATACAAGAAGATTGCGCCGAGTGTGTCAAGTGTTATGATTGGACGTGGAGCGTTATACAAACCATGGATATTTCAGGAAATTAAAGAACAACGGCATATCGATCTAAGCGCCAGTGAACGATTCGAAATGATGAGAAAATATGGTAATGCAAAAAGAATCTCATTGTAATGTGTATGCCTTCAAAGTAATGTTTATTTTTAAATTTATTTGATCAAAATTTTGAAAACATTTCAGAAACATGTTTTCTACCTATTATTGAGGTCAGAGAACACGAATATGGCGTTTTTAAACATGGTTTTTGTTAATCTGTACGTTGTACGTCGTACGCAAAATTTGTTAGCAAGATTGCGCTCATCGTAGAAACTTAATTCAAAATCTGACTTTGCAGGATGATTGGGGGTCGCGAGGAATAGAAATCATTTGATTTTGAGCGACTTTGGTTGATGGAAAAAATGTCACGCCTGGAGTGATACCTATGAAAAAGAGCCCAATTTTCGTCCAGAAGTCATACTTAATGT